GTTTGTTGAGTAACTCCAAATTATTCCTTTCGTTGAAAGATCACAACACTTTGAATGACATCAATTTCAGAAACACACCTCCACAGATTGATGTTCTTTCACTTCAACCTGCCATGTATGAAAATCACATGTTGTCAAATTTTGATTTTGCTCCATGAAATAGAAGCACAATCAAAGTGGAATCCTTCTATGAATTCTTGCCTCCATGGCCATGGTTGCATCATCTCTTTCAAGAGATGCCTGACAGGCATTGGCTATAAAGGAAATCTCTTGTGGATGCCGAGAGTTTTTTCTATGTTTAGCTAATTAATTAAGATCTTGCCTCAGTTGCCGCCCTCGTAGCTTCAGTATCATCCCGAGGCTCCTCACACAGGCATTAGCGTTTTAGACTTAAAGGGTCAAAGGTATTGCAACAGAAAGTCAAACGGCCGCAATTAATTGAAAACCAGCAGATGCCTCCATAGCTTCTTCAGCTGCTTGATGCTTCTCCAGGAAAATCTCGGGCTCCTGGGTAGTCAGCGGGTTTCGAAAGATTGGACCATAAGTAGGGGATATTTGAACCAATCCTGCAAACACATTGACCTTGACCTTGACCACCTTCTTAAAGACGACTTTGGAATCCATGGGCGTGGAGGCCATGGGGTCTCCTCCATCACCAAAGTATCAAGTTGGGAGGGGTCAGCTGGATTGACCGTGGTGTGAGCAGGTGCTTCACCTTCATTTGTAGCAGCACCAGTGTCCCCAGCAGAGCCAGCCGCCTCAGAGCTGCCGGCCTCACCAGGAGTTTCCTCCTCAAGACCTTCACCATCATCATCCTCCTCAGGAGCAGATGTTGCTGGGTCTGATGGAGCAAGGGCAGAAGCAGCATCCCCGTACTTCACATTGAGGATATCCTTCAAGCTTTGGACGGCTTCTGACCTGATTGAGATTGAACAAGAGGATGTAATGAATAGGGTCCCCTCACAACAAAACTAATGAACATATACATTGTTTAATTTTGAAGTAGTACTGCAAACAATGGGCTTGGAGCGGGTTGGGCTCTTCCTCCACAGTCTTGTCATATATTTTGCATGACACCGCACTACTCCAGCTTGCATCTCAGACCAGTCTTTGACACCTTTAACCAGGGCTGCTTCACCCAACAGGCAGTAAGTCTCATTGACCTTCACAAAGGCAGCCTTAGATTCCAAGGGCCAGAGGTAAAGCTGACTATGATGTTAGGATTATGTATTCTAAATGATTTCTAGCCAAAGATCTCTGAATTTTCCAAGGTTTGGGATTGCAAGTCCAAACTCCGCTAAGATGTAGCTGAGAGGGAAGTCCAACTGGGCGCATGATTCCTCTGTTGGATCAAGGGTGCAACTTCCCACAAAATTGTGGGCAGGATCCTCTCTAAGTTTCTTGGTCTCGATAACACGGCACCACTCATCGATAACGGCGATGAGGTAGGTCAACCTAAGAAGCAGGCCATGGCAGGTTCCTAAATAATTTTAAATATGTGAATGCTGGAAAGAACTTACACGATTTCCAACTAATATGTTGTCCAAAAAACTCGGGATCCTGTTCTCCCTTGTCACTCATGGCAGCACTGGCAGCTGTGCAGGATCCAAACTCTGAGAGCTGATGGCGCTTGGTATGGGCAGTGGTGTATCGGCAACGGGATGTGGTATGGGCATGCAGTTGCTCTTACAACTAGTGATTGACCCATTTTGATGTTGAATTGTGTCCATCTCATACATGTTGTTACTCCACAGCCCAAATTGTAGCAGCTGGGGTGGTCGCACCTGTGTCTAGAAGTCGCCGAGCACGAAGCTTCTTCATGGCAGCATGGGAAAGATTGGGAAGGCATGGGAAGGCTGATGCTTGAGTGGTGGATACACATAATTTTTATGATCTTGAATATCCCCAAAGCACCATGTGTATTGAATATTGTTCTTATTGAATGTTGTTGATAATCATGCTATCCTCATGGCACCCCGGTTCCGGAACCCAATCCTGCTTCCACCCATTTTGGTATCTGCAGCGGTTCCGAGCATAGTGGGACATGGAAGGGTAGGGTATATATATATGTAGGGTCCATGGGGGTCTTTTCAACAGGGATGCATATAGACATTATACATTATACCTCATCAGCCATTGAGCACATCTGCCATCCGATGTGCCATCCCAGCCATCGCCTCCCGTTGCTCCGAGGACAAAGAACAAAGATAATCCCAGAGCTTTGCGAGGTCTGTCAAGCAGGGATTCACATGGGGATTGGATTTTTCCGTCGCTGTGCTCATGGTTCATGGCTAGTTGATCTAGTGGATACACAAAAGAATGGAAAGTTGTGAATTCGTGGCGCATTGATTTTTCTCCTGCATTTCTGAATGGGGTGAATTTCTGCCCCTAGGGATCCCTCAACGGATCACCATCTTGGCATCCTACATCTTGGCAAAGAAACTCCTCCGTGTGAGGACGAGGTTGGTCCGAATTAGTTGCAGCAAATCAAGATCTGATGTACTTTACCGCCACCACTGATAGAACAGCAGCCTCAGCTTGCGAAGGGCTTTATCAACAAGTGCATTTCTGGCATTTCCAGTGTGCATTCAACCAAAAAAACGAAAGAACATGCCACTGCCACTCACCTAAGGCGGCTATGGTGTTGTGCCTGGCTTGTTCTTGGTCAGCCTTAGAACTCAGATATCCACCCTATCCCTCGCCATCATTGCCATCTTCAACCCAGCATGCTGGAAGGATTTCCCTCATGGTCAGTCGATTAGATATTCTTTCGAACAAATCACCCGGGTTCATCTATTGCATCTATCTTTTGACCCAGCATCCACTGGGTTTTACCCAGTTGGTTTGTTTTTTTTTTCCGGGTTCATGTTAAAGAATAACTGCAGGAAGTCGATGGTTGTCCCATCCAAATAATCTAGTTAGTTGGTGCTGCCACTCAATCAAGAATATGATCATCAAGGATCATCATCTTTTAGGGATTGGATCCTTATAACGAAACCGTTCACATGCTTTTCCTACAACCAGTCATAGTGTTTGATATGTTTGATACTTGGGAACATAGTGCCTATATCGCCTATGTACCATAAGACAATGCAAACATGCACTTATCCTATAGATCCCATAGCAGATCCTCCAAAAGAGTGACAAGAAAATCCTGCCTACAAGGGCCCTGCAAATACTAAAAAATTGTTCTATCCTTTGGGGGTTGATTCTTCCTTCCATTTCCCATCCCAAACTTGCTTAAAAATCAGGTCATGCAGCAAGAATATCCAAAAGATTGAATTTCAAGATGAAAAAAAATGTAGAAAAAAATGCAGTACCCTCCCGTAAATTAACATAGACCCTGGTAGAGAGGGGTTGGAAGATTAGTTTCCATTAAAAATTGGTGATCCTCAGGGTCTATGTTTATTTACCAGAGGGTATGAACACAAAGACTCATCTAAATCCTCCCCTTGCCACGTGGCAAAAATCAGCCGCAGAGCCCGCTCCGGCAGAAGTGCTGCCATTTCGCCCCCGCCGAAACCGCCCAGCAGCGCACCCAGCACAGCGAAGCCCGCCAGGTCCCGATCCACGTTGCCCTTGGACCAATGGGTGGAGCAACTCACCACCTGAGGCACTGAACATTGGGTGAACGATGAGGATGGAAGATTTTGATTTTTGTGAAATATCATGATCATGTGGTTCGAAATAGTGGTTTTATGGAATATGAATGGGTAATAATGGGTATACAGTATACAGTATTTAGTTTATTTTGATGTTGGTTTAATGGAATATGAATGGGTATAGTTAGAATGGTCTATGACTAGCTACAATTGTTCCCATCCCCCTATGAAGCTCCTTAAACACCCCCAATATCAACCATAGTTTTTTTGGATGAAAATACATTCTTGGGACCATAGAATGGGTGCGTTCAGATTGGGTGGATGTGGTTATGTCACATTCTTTCACCATAGTTATAGGGATTTATCTGAATGAAATCAGGGATGTGACCATCAAAATTGCTAGATATATGATTTCACCAAAGTGGGATGATGATGAATAATGTACGTATGTTTGCTTAAAATACAAACATGTTCGTGCTTACACTCCCATTACAAGAATTATAGCACCATTGATATTGTAACCACGGTAAACATAACCATTACTTGGGGGAGCGTTTTTTACTAATTTGCGTGGTTCTATCTCACCACAGTTTATATATGTTAAATCATGTTATAACAGCTAGGCTATGACTACCCATAATTAACTCCAACTGGATACATCATGATGGATTCAAAGGCAAATCCAAAGGTAGGTTCCAAGAGTCTAAGAGTATGCTCAAATATGCTCAAATCACCTTAGATGGATATTCTGGATATTTGGGATATAAATTGCGATAAAAATTTTGACGACCTGATGGTGGGGGATGATGCTGGAATGGGATTGCTTGGGATATAAATTAGGTAAAATCATCGATCTGAATGGGCAAGACACTTTCAAAGAATACAAATGGGGGATGAAATGAGGGATTTTACCGTCAAAATTGGGTACAGTCACCGGCGATTTTCATCGGAAAATCGCCAAGGATGAAGGATGAGGGTTGTCGGGCTATAAATGGGGATGTGGATGCGGGTTAAAACGAAGCATTTCATGGGGATGTAGTGGCAAAAAAGAGGCACCGATGATAGGTTCGAACCATCCATTTTTGAGGTTTGACCCATCGTTTCCCCATCCCATCCGTTCATGGATTTGTCTCAAAATAGGGTACCCCCTTCCACCCCATGGTTGAAAACTACCATCCCAATGTTATTCCATCATTTGATAGTCATATATTTATTCGTGATATTCGTGGTAGATCCAACATTCAATATTCTTGGTAAGATGTCCCACGAATTATCACCATTGAATACCATTGATATCTCTCATTATCTTTGCCATCGGTACCCAATTTTCAATGAAGGGATGGGATGGGGGCATCGGTTGCTACGCCCTAAATGAGCTGCATGAGTTGCTTCTAGTCTCTTGGCTGGAATGATGTGTTTTTCGTTCTTTGTGTGATTATTTTTCGCTGGGCGGGTCTATATATAACTCATGTTTAAATGGATTTACATTCGAACAAAACCACACTGGATTTGCGCTAATGCAAATGTGAGTTTGCGATAGAAAAACATCGTTTGGTGTTCGCATTGAGGAACATCATAGACATCCGGTTCTGCCGGCGAATTGAAAAGTGCAGAGCCCGGAGGCAAAAGTGAATGGCAGGCGCAGTTGAAACTTTTCACCCCGGAATCCTACAAATGATGTGTGGCAGGTGGGTTTTTGATGACATCTGAAATTTCTGAAATACACATCGAAATGCTGAAAGGCTTCTGAAATCAGAATGAAATTCTTCAGATTCATTAACTGTGTTTCCTCATGATTTTTTTCAACTTGGCCCGTAGGTGACCCGTGCATGACCCGTGGGTGACGCGCAGGTGACCAGTTTAAAGAGATGCAAGGTACCCTCAAATGGGCCACAAAATGATTAGATTCAATACTCAATGCCGGCGAAGGTCCCCCAACGTTGTAGTCAACTGTCATTCCCGCATGGAACTACGCCCCCCAACTGCTAGGAAAAGTCACCCCAACTTTTTCGCCCATTGTAAACGCAGCACGAAAATGAAAAAGTACAAAAAAATATCATCCCAAATGTGCAAAACACCATGAGAACGCAAGCCACCCCAATGGTTTCAAACTACGGAAAATTATTAACATATGTTTCAATATCAAACCACCATGTACACGCATGATTCATGTATGTTTTGGTAAAATATCTCTGTTGTTGCAAAACGTATCTAATTCTAATGTTCAAAGTAAAACAAGTACATCTAAGAAATGTCATTTTTTGGTTCAAACCACAATGTGAACGCATGATTCATGTATGTTTTGGTATGTTTTGGTAACAAATCTATGGGGTTCTGATTTACATCTTAACTCAATATTTCTGCAACGGGGCCCGAACGAGGCCAAAAACGATGCCAAAACGAGGCCAGGAAATAGCTTTGGAAACCCCTCAGCTTTAGCAGCAGTTTACAACCAGCCCGGCAGCAAGTCTCTAGCAGGAGTCTAGAAGCAGGCTGGCAGCAGCTCAATGCAGCTCAGCAGCAGTTTGCACGCTGCCCGTGGTGATATCCCGCCGCCATTTAGCAGCAGCCCAGCATCAGCCCGACAACAGTTGTAACAGCCTTTCTGCAGGCCAGCATCTACTGCAATTAGATGAATCGATGCATCTACTCTAGAAAGGCACCCCCCCGGCAGGGCGACATGTAAACATGTGACTGGATTTGCTCGAAGGTCACGTGAATGAGCCAGGCATGACACAAAATCAAGTTCACCAGTGTAAACACAAGCTAAATGAAGCAATATTTACTTCTAAAGCCCCGTTTTCTATCTTACGCAACTGCTCCACAGCAACTAAACGCATGTTGGGGCGACTTTCCCGGGAAGTCCCCCCAACTAAACGCAAGATTTTGGATCGGGCGGGGTGAGTTCGCTATAAGCGAGTACTAGACCATCGACCCATGTTTCTAGGGAGGCATTCAATCTTAGGCCGGGACTATTCTACAACCCCCATAATTAGAAGTAGCTCTCAGCAGCGTTGCGCCAGCCATGGAACTGAAGGAAGGAGCATGGCTAGCAGCGCGCTGCCCTGCGCTTCAGATTGAGGAAAGGCAAAGGCCAGGGCCAACACAGGCACCAAGACAGTACCACCACCCACCTAGGCTGCGCGGTAGGCTTCAAAAGATTTCAAAAGTGGTTGAACTACGACCTCAACTGGCTCATGCTTACCTGAATGACGGGATGCCAGGAGTTTGACACTGGAACTCTCTTGACCACTAGAACTGCACCATGAAGTGACGCTTGACCCAAAAGTAGGAAATTTGATGCCAAGGAAATCTAAGGAAATCTAATCATGAGGTGTCTTTCTATCAACCTTGACCCCTCACTTGCGAAATACCTCTGCTGGATCAAACCGAAGCCACTCCCAGCAATCCAGAGACCAATCCACTGGCAATGCCCAGCCCTGACAGTGGTAGCAGAGCTGCAGTGGCACCCGCGTGGGTCACAGACGAGTGGACCTCGATGCGGATGGCGAGACAATCGCCGGATGATGGATGTGGAATCAAGATGAATCAACAATATCTGAAATATCTGGTTGGTGGTTTCAACCCCTCTGAAAAAATATTAGTCAGTTGGGATTATCCTTCCCAATATATGGAAAAATAAAAATGTTCCAAACCACCAATCAGTTATGCAATATGGGTTTGTCTGAGAATAGGCTAAGTACAACGAAAACCCATCATTTAAAAATTTATCATTATTTTTTCGCCCCTGGCCATAACTGCGGGTTAAAATCCCCCATTTTCATGTGTGACACCCAAAGTTTGTGTCCATGGTATGATTCATGGTCAGTGGGAACTCAAAAAAAAACCTAGGGTCTAGGGTGTTTGTGTGTGTAACATCTTAATAGATGTGAAACTTTCTCTTCCTTTTCTTCCTTCTGTCCTCTCCCTCTTTAATAACGCAGGGGGATGAGGGTCCCTTGATGTGCCTCATCTAACAAAGACCGCACCAAGTGGACGTGATATCAGTGCCCGGCCAGCACTGACGTACCTGCACCTTTATATTCTTTACGCTGTTGGTTTATATGTCAAAGACTCCTGTGATTTTTACTGACGTGCTCTTTATACTCTCAATGCTGTTGGTTTATATGTCAATGACTCCTGTGATTTATACTGACGTGGCAAGGGGCTAAGCCAAGAACCCCAATAAACAATCTAATAAACAATCTAATAAACAATCTAATAAACAATCTAATAAACAATCTAATAAACAATCTAATTGCATGTTTCAGGACTCAGTTCCTGACGGATCTATTCAAAGATCCCATTCTTGTCTAGTGTAATACCTATGGTGGCTTCCAACAAGGTGCCATAGGGCCACTGGAGGTAACCCTGTTTAGGGTGACTGTCGACTGTCCTAACCATCGAATTTACACACTTTAATTTGGTAATTCATCTAAGTAAAGCGAAACAGTCAGCCTTTCTGTTGTGCACCATTTTCGGGAAGTCCTGCCGTTCCTGCGGTCCCTTGAAAACCCTGGTGAAATGTGGTCTTCTCTGAGTGAAGCCAATCGGAACAACCAGAAACTCCTTTTTTGTCACTGCTGCTTCTATACTTTTATTGCTGTTTGTTTATATGTCAATGACTCCTGTGATTTATACTGACGTGGCAAGGGGCTAAGCCAAGAACCCCAACAGAAGGCAACAGGCACATGCTTTCCAGGTGTGGTTTTTTCTCTTTTGATGGTTTTCTGGTGAGGTCCAACATATTGTACACCAAATTCGATGAAACTCATATAGCCGTTATAAGCCCTTGTGACTGACCTGACTACCGTCCCGGCAAGGGAGTAACGCACGACCTCTAGGTCCCTAGGTGTAGGAGCTGAGTCCTGTTTTAAATTAATTGTTTTGGTTTCTCTCGCTTGCCATTAACTAGTCCCCCGTTTGGTCCCTAATTCTCCCTTCGTGCCTCTCCGTAATGTGTCGTGGGGTTTGGGTTTGTGCTCTGTTTTGGTCAGGTCCGTTTCGCCGCGTAGGTTGGTTCTGGAGGTCCGTTCGTTCCCCTTCCCCCCCTGCGCTGTTTTGGCCTTTTGCCCGTCGTCTGTGTCCGCTTTTTTCTTTCTCTTGCCTTTCAGGGTTGACCCGGCTCTGGCCGTGTGTGTGTGTGTGTGTTGTGTGTGTGTGTGTGGTGTGTGTGTGTGTGGTGTGTGTGTGTGTGGTGTGTGTGTGTGT